AACAGGGTATGGCTCCCAGGGCTTGCTGCCATTGGGAAGGCCCAGGTAGGTATCTGAAGATTGGAGGGGAAGGGGGGTAAAGGGGTGGAGGAGGGAGAGAAAGAGACCTATGCATTATGATGACCAAGTATGCATTCATATGAAACTTTCCCGTCACCCAGATGCAATGCAAATATTTGCTCCCCAGAGGAAGTGAAGGGCAATACAGTTGAAGTCACTTATACTTGACAGCAGCAATCTCCATTCTCCTAATTCCACAGCTCAACAATCTCCATTTTATTCATTCTACAGTTCATTAGCCCACTACATGGAGTCATTTGGTTCAGTCGATTTTTAAAAAATGTACAACACAGCTTTGATGTTTAATAACCCTCTAGACTGAATATGTTTCAAGGAATATTAGTTCAGAAAAACATCAAATTACAGAAATATATGCAATAGTGAGGAAGAAAAAGTCACCCTACAACAAACATATATTAGAAATTACTCAACTGCTTCATTGAGAGACTAAAGCCATGTTAGAAAGAGAACATCGCCCCACCCAGAGCTAACTCAAGATTTTTCTGAGTCTATTTACCAGTTAAGGCTTGGCTTCTAACTTTGCAAAGTAATCAGTAACTTAGTCACCTGTGAAATTTCTGGTCACTCCTTGATTATGTACAAAATTCATCCAATTATTTAGGCTGTCTGGATGTAAAGAGGGTTATTATAATGAGACTATGATGTGTTGAGAGAATTTTTCAAGATAATTGATAATTAGTCATTGTTTCTAGGCAAAAAACAAAACAAAAAAACAAAAAAATTGATGTTCATTTGCTCATAGTAACTAAAGTATGGTGTCTGCCAGCAAAAAAGTGTTATTTCAAATCACAGTGGGAGGTGAGTTGTTAATGACGGGGAGGAGGATCAAATGAGGAGAAAAACTAAGTCAAGTTTTATATTTAAAAAATACTTCTCTCCCACAGAACTTAATACATCAAACATCAAATCAAATTAAAAAGCAATAATCTCTCATTGGCCTCTTTTGAAGAAAGACACACCATAAACAATATTGTATTACCCTGCCTATGATGTTATGAATCCTAGTTGGAAAAAGAATTCGTACCACCACAAGTCATGTCTTTCTATTTTCAAAAGTGATTCTTTAGTTTTTGCTAATGTTTATTTATTTTCATAAATAGGGAAATGTGATCGATTGCTTCTTTTCTTGATCTGTGGTTCCCTGCCCCTCGCCCAGCTAAGATATCCTACCTTTTTTATTTATTTATTTTTTTCTGTCCAGAGGTAAAGGGGTACAATTAAGCCACTGATGTAGCCCAAGTGTACTTAATTATTTCAGAGTCTCCAGATGGCCTCAGAGGCAGGCAGGAAGCATGATTGCAGCTCCACACAAAACCTCTCGGCTTCCCTGTTCTAACTCTTGCCAATGTGCACACTGCTGTCATGTAAACACTCCTGGGGAAGATGCCAATAATCTCTACTTTACGTCCGAATTACACAGCCAGGTCTTTCTTTGGTGACTTGAAGGAAACAAAAGTTTAATGGAGAGAGTACTTAACTGGGATGTACCTTAGAAAAATACCAAAGCAAAAAAAAAACCAAACCTTAAGCAGCCTTGCACATAAAGCAGAAAACTTTCTCAAGTCAGCAGCATTTCTCAAAACTCAAAGTCCATCCTGATGGCAAGCCACACAAGAATCAGAATCTGCAAAAATCATTACTTTCCCTACTTACACTGCCAAGCACCTGCAAGACTAAGAAAAGAATGATATCCAGTTCTCTTTTGAGAAAGTACAGGCCTTTCCAGCAGATGCATTAAGTGAGATAAAAACCTTATGGTTGAAGGGGAAGAAAAAGTCAGGACCATTAAAAATGTATCTTCCAAATAATCAATGCCCAAAAGTTTTAAACTTTTCTTTAGAGTCAAGAAATAGTTCAACCCTGTGACCCAGATTATTAATTTCCTCTAAGCAAAACAAATTCTTAAGTGTTAACCAAGCACATGTAATACTTGTGTATAAAATGCTAGAAAGCACACTAATCTGGAAATTCAAAGTCATCTGTCCTATTGACCGGGACATTGTTTCTTAACTTCTCATCACCAGCCGCTGTCTTGATCCAGGACTGCCAGAGAAATGGGCTGTCCCAGCCGAGCACACACCCTTATGCTACCCCAATCCTATCTGCCCATTACAACTTTATTTCCTCTTTTTGAGTCCCCTTTGCCAAGCTTGGTTCTTCTGCCATCTCTCAATCAACATGCCCTTTTTTACATTGTTTAAGTATTATCTCAGTGAACTTCAAGTAGTCATTTATGTCCTTTTGCTTTATTTTAATTTTGCTATGCCAGATATTGTATTAACTCAGACAGTGGACCACTGGTTGATACTTGGAATTTTTCATTACAGTGGTATTTGTCATGACGTTTCATTTGTAATCCCAATCTAAGAAAACATAACTATTTATGCCCTACTTTATTTCAGAAAAAAAAAGTTAAAGGTTGCTTACACAGATACATACAATAAAATAACACTTAAATTATGGAGATAGGAAAATGAGACAAAGGAGAAATTCAAGTAGGAAAGTTCAGATGAAATTAGGAGAGAGGCCAGAATTTAAAGCTCAGCTTGTGAGGCTTATACACATGCTAGAGCAGATTCTAGGCTTTCTAAGCTTCCTAGCAGTCAATGAAAAGAGAGAGACTCACTTATATAATTAATTGGCTGAAATACTATGGCCTGCTGGTCAAATCCAGCCTACCGTCCGTTTGTGTAAATAAAGTTTTATTGGAACACAGCCACACCTAATCATTTACATATTATTTATGGCTGCTTTCACAGTACAATAGCAGAGTTGAATAGTTGTGACAGAGATCTGAAAAGCCTAAAATATTTATTACCTGACCATTCATAGAAAAAAAGTTTGCAGATGCCTGGGTGCCTATGAGATAAAAGCAAAGCAATGTCTGAGGGCAAGCACATTTCTTGTATGGCTCTGAAATGGAAGAGAACTTTCTACTATAAAGAGTTTACTGTATAATCTCCCCCAAAACACCCTTTGTTTCATTTTTTTTAATAGTAAATATAGCAACAGTTTTCCCAGGGCCAATGGCATGATATCACAACACAAGTCAGTAAAATGATTCTATGTGAAGCTGAAACGATGCAAGGCAGGGGAAATTCTCTCCTGGTCTGGCTTAATTCCAGGAGGGTCTGTGGAGGCGAGTGCCACTCTGTGCAGCCCTTTCCTACCCTTCTTCCTTATCAAAGGCAGACATGGCAAATGGAGCAAGGTATTCTATCCAGCTGAGCCTCAAAGTGTCCTCTAAAGTCCTCTCTGAGTTCCCTGGCAGTCTCAACCAATCATTAGCAGTTGGCATGCAAGATAAAACCGATAGGTCATCTTTGCTTTAAGGCAATTTTCCATTAACATTCTCTCCACTGAGTTTGATAAGCACTGGGGTGGTGAGGGTGAGATTATACTCTCTGCTAAATTCCTGAATCACAGCTATATTCTGTTTTGTCAACCAGCAGAACTGTCCTCGTTAATGGTCATCCACAAGGAAGCATCATATTGACATCCTCCTATGAGAACCAGGAGCCTCACAATGATGGCTGCCTAACGAGAAGGCCCCGTCACGCCAGCACGTATGCAGGGCAAGAGAGTGTCTGAGAGCAGGGCCTGGCATCTCCTTAAAACAGTTGCAGGAAACCTGGTCCTCTGCACAGACTGACAGAGAACGGCACAGGCATTTTGTCTGGAAACATTCAATCCCAATAACCATGTTGTTTGTTCAAAAAAACAAAACCTCCAAACAGCCATGACCTAGACCCACTGACCTTGAACACATATATTCCTAAAGAATACCACCAAGAAACAGGGTTCCAAAATAATGCAAATAAACTGGAAACAGTTCAATATTGTGAAGGAATGACAAAACTGCCGACTGGATTTAGAGAATACACCTGTAGCCTTTCTCTGCCCATTTCTTCTCTGTGGCTACAAAACTATGTTATGAATTGATTGTATTTCTATTCCATATAATAGGACAACAAAAATTCAGGTTATCTAAGTGTTTCCAAGTCTTTAATAAGCAAATTTAAGAGAATGAGAACTATTCTTATTTGATCTTACTGAAAATTGTTACTTAATCTATAACTGACTCCTACCTATGTTGTCAAAGGAAAGAAAAAAAAATTATAAATCATCTTATATTATTCCTAACTGTTCTTTCCACAAGGTGATTAAAAAGTATAAAACTAGAAAATAAGAAAACCTTCCTTCTCCTTATGAGTTTGTGGCTGTGTTCTAGAAAACACCAACTACAAAGAAATGAAACATAAGCATACTTGACAGGGGAGTTAATATGGCCAACAAATGTGATGGATTAGTGAAGGAAATTTTTCTTCACCTTAAAAAGAAAAAAATACTAACAAATATTGCCAATTACGCTTCCAGTACAAATGCTTAGGGTTCAAGTTCAGACCACTTACATGTAGGCACATGAGAATGTGGAAAATTTGGACTCTAGATAGCCTTACAGAAAAAAAATGAAGAAAAACTCTTAAAGAGTCAATCAAAACACTGAGCCCAGACCAAATAGTAGCAGGTACTTGGTAGGCTTTTCTGGAACCAAGTACAGGGATGCTCAGCTACATACTACATTTGGAAGTGTGCCAAATATCAACATAGAAAATTCTGGAGGAAAGCAAAAGTCCCTCCATATCAACTGTGGGCTGCTCCCTGCTTCTCCAAGCAGTTATGCAACCTCCATGTCCTTTGATGTTCCCTGAGACCAAGATGGAGATCAGGATAGAGTGGGTGTTAGATTACAGTACCTGAGAAAGCTTTTGCACAACAGTTGAGGCCATTAACGTTTGTGCTTCCAAAAGACTGCCACCCCAAACCACCAGCATGCAGAGCACCCTCCCAGAACCTCAGAGGCAGCAGCAATACTTTTGCTAATTTCTTCAACACTAGTTGTGAAGGCTCCTACTTACGTAGTGCATACAAGGTGAGAATTATTCCAGCCAGGCAAAATCCTTCAAAGAACCTGAGCGTGCTGAACATTGTCACATTCACTGACAGTGCCACGGTCAGTCCAAAGATCAGAATGAAGATGATGGAACACAGCAGCACAGGCCGCCGGCCGACCCTGCATATGGAGAGAGAAAAAGTTAGGAGTCATCATTAAACAGGGCTGTGATGCTAGATGCTGAAACCCACCCTCCAGTAGGCGCGCAACAGATGTTGAAAGAGTACTGGACTATAAGTGTTCATACAATCGAGACTCACTTTGGTAGGTCTAGGGATAGAAAGGCCCTCAGGGGAAATATGGCCCAACCCCCCTTGTTTTATAGATAAAGGGGCATAGATTAAATGGGCTACTGCATAATAGAATTGAGACAGGAACCCAGTTCCTGTTGGCAAGTCTATTTCTGAGTATACAGGAGGATAATTCAAGGCAAGAGTAATAAAATCAATAACAACTCCCCAAACATAAACCTTAACACACCCAGCAAAAAATGTCTTGAGAAATCCCTGACCTTTGGAATTAGCTCCAAAATCAACACAGGCACTGAGTGAAGCACTTCATTTCCTTTGTCAGGGCTGGTAACTAGTCAGGTACCTGACCTCACATGCAGCCTGTCAGAACCAGGGCCAAGCCAGCTGCCGATTTGTTTCAACTATATGATGAGAAGCCATTTTTAAGGGATCACCTACTAAACTAAGATAGTGCAAACTTTAAATTATGGGTGTGGACCTGAAAGTGAAGGTCACCAGCCAGCAAGGGGTTGGACGGAGCTCAGTCCACTGTGTTTCTGGAAAAAGCAGTGCACAGACTAGGCTGGCAGATTATACGGTGGTGCAAGGTTAGCTACCACTGTGGGATGATATGCCTCTAGGTGTGGCTGGGGGTGGGGAGCGGTCCATGGGATTGGAAAGTCACTAGTTCTCCATCCTTCCCTTGCTCGCCTTCCAGATTTTTAATCGTCAACTTGTTAGGGGGAAAATACCTTCGACGTACCAATTAACATAGCACAGCCAGCTTGAACTACAATAGAAAAGCTCACAGAGAAATTGGAGCAGTGAACTCTATTTCCCAAAGGAAGAAAATCCGTGCCTGGAACCTCAAATACCCAAAGGGTAGCCAAATGGCTTGAACTCACCTAGACATACTATGACAAGACATCTACATAAAAACAAAACACCCAGAAAAGGCAAATTGAGAGAAACAGAAAGTAGATTCATGGCTGCCCAGGGCTGGGGGTGAGAATGAGGAGTGACTGTAGATGGGCACGAGATTCCTTTTAGGGGGACGGAAATGTTATAAACTTAGAGTATGGTGATGGTAGTGTAACTCTGTAAACATACTAAAACTCATTGAATTGTGCACTTAAAACGGGTGAGCTTTATGGTATGTAAATCATCTCTCAATAAAGCTGTTAAAAAAAAAAGCATGCCTACTAACACATGGCTTTGCCCTATGAAGGAGATATATGCAATTTCAAGAAAATTTGGGGGAGGGACCCACAAGACACAATTTCATTCAGAATTTCTTAGGCTTCTAACATTCCCCATAGTCATGTTGGGTTTAGTGAAATGAGGCCAAGCAATGAGATCAGTGCCAACATAAGTCAACAGTCTGGTCGGAGATTTTAGCCATTACTTCCCTTGACTGGGGCTGGGGTCATTAAGCCCTTATCAGAAAAGACTATAGGTAATTTTGCCCAAACCTAACAAATTTATAGAAATAAATTTAAAATATTGCTTAGTTCATCTCCTAATATGAGGGAAAAGAAAATCTAACGTCCATTTTTATTTCCCTTTCAGTCCCTTGTCTGTAAAATGGGGGTACCCGTCCTACTTCAGTGCTGTTGAGATAATGAGAGATGATGGACATAATTACAGTGCCTGACACAGAGCAAACAGTTAAATGCTGCGGCTCTTACGATTCCTTCCTGCATGTCTACATCCCTGATGCCCACCAATCATAGTCTCACCTGCACTGATACTTTAGAAAAGATCCTTGATTTTTTTCAACTTGTAGAAACTATTCTAAATGTCTCCCTCCCAAGTGGTTGCTAAATCAGTAAGTAAAAATTATTATTAGGAACTGTGGAGCAAATATGGTCTTCAAAGAGCACCCCGGCCTTGAATCCAGGCTCACCACTTATGAACTTCGTGATCTTGATAAAGATCATACTTGTCCAAACGAACCTCGTGTTTTCATTAGGAACAGCCAGTCAATGCCGACCTAATGGGGTTGTTGTCAGGTACAGGTAAGTGCAAGTGATTTAGCAAGCATTTAACCAACGTTAGTTATAACTACTGGGGTTTTAGTGTGAACTGGCTCCCCCCAGAGCACAATTCCCTCAGAGATGACTGATAAATACACACTCCTAAATCTGTAACGCAAAGGGCTTTCTAAGTTAGGCTCTGTGGTGGGCAGGATAATGGCCCTCAAGGATGTCCCAGCCCTAATTATCAGAACCTGTGAATATGTCTCCTTTCATGGCAAAAGGGGCTCTGCAGATGCGATTAAGGTTAAGGACCTTGAGATGAGGTGATTATCCAGGTGGGTCCAATTTAATCACATGGACAATCTCTCCTGGCTGCAGGGAACCAGACAGACGGCAGCGTCAGAAGGACCTGACTGACCTTCGCTAACTCTGAAGCTAGAAGAGGAGCCACGAGCCAAGGAATGCAGGCAGCCTCTAGAAGCAGGAAAGGCAAAGATACGGATCCTCTCCTAGAGCCTCCAGAAAGCGGTACAACTGCCGGCACCTTGGTTTTAGCCTAGTATGAACTATGGAACTGTAAGGTAATTTGTTTAAGCCACCAAGTGTGTGGTAATTGGTTACAGCAGCCACAGAGAAGTAATACAGGATCTCAACAGGAAACAGATGTCCCACTCAAATGAAGTAGTTCGAGGAGATTTTAATAAAGGGTTTATTTACAAAAGGGTAGGCAAGCTTTGAGAGAAACCTTGGGGCTATTAACAGCAGGAGGCTTGCAGGTAGGGTGGTCATGGAACCGAGAGACAGAGGCTGTGTGCGGAGGGGCCTGAGGGAAGCAGTCAGCCCTTGGCAGCCCTACAGAGACCACGCTGGGGATTAAATGCCTCCTCCTCACTCTCCTCTCTCCCTCAGATCTCCAGCTGGTGCTCCCTCCTCCCAGCCAGGCTCCGCCAGGAGCTAGAGGGCAAGGGGTGCTCCAGGGCAGCCCAAGAGGGCCAGCCTCCTAGGGCCGGCTGAAGAAGGGTGCAGAGGGCTCCTGGAGAGAGAAATGCAGGACATCTGGCAAAAGAATCAACGATGGAGGGGAAGGGTGGAGGGTCTTCTGGTGAGAGCCACTGGCAGGGCCGTTCCCTCCATACATCTAAACAAACACATTATATGACAACACATAATGTCTATCCCCCGCCAAATGTGTGTGGACAACAGTACCTTTTTAAAGAAAAAAAGTGTACTACTTAAGTTTTATTATATGCTGACTGCAGTCTTAGAGAGCTTAACCCATGACTTGATCAACTTCCCTATGCAGCCATGAAACGGGTGCCAACAGCTGTGAAATCTGGAGTTTCCTCTAAGTGTGTTCATTTCCCTTTAAGCAAGGCTCTAGCAGGGAGTAAAATGCCAAAAATAAATAAGGGGTGGAAAACACCAAATTTTCAAACTGGAACTGAGGCCCACTCAAAATGCTCAAAAAGCCACAACATAAAAGCATTCTGCATTGACTCTCTGGGCACCCACGCCCACCCACCACGGACCTTTGGAAAAGTGGCAGCTGAGAAGTGAATCTGCAACGGCAGACTCTGGTTACTCATGAAGGAAGACCCCAAACTCTTCTGTTTGTTGTCCCCAGGCCTGGTGAGATCAGGGAGGCCAAACGGTATGTATGTATAAGAAGAATTGACAAAACAACCTCCAAGCAATTTAAAGCCCGTTACAGGCTGATATTAATAGAAGTACATTTTGCTTACCCTATTAAATCATTGAACAAGGACACTAAAGCCTCAGTCAAGTCTGTGTTTTTTAGGGAGAAGTGACGTGGATTATATTAGTATATCTTCCTATTTCAATGCAGATTTCTGGGAAACAAAAGTCCTTGTGGTTAAAATATTGGGATTAGAGTATCTTTTAGATCAGTACAGCTTACTCTGAAAACCTTTATAAGCTCAAGTATTTGGTTAAAAACAAAAACAAAAGACCCTGCATTCCCTCCCGCTCCCCCACCCCTCACCCCAAAAAAACAAACTCAGGGAGGTTTCCAGAGGTCCTGTACAGCCCCTCTGTTCCTGTCCCCAGGAAATGCGTCCTTATGAAGCATTTACAAATGATGACTAAGCAAATCATGACAGGAAATCACACTACATGTTAATGCAAGGAACTGCCAAACAGGTGCTAGCTTTTGGAAAGAAATTTCCAGAACTTGAAAGTGGTGTCAGAACTCCTCCGGGCTCTACCTGCTGCTCTGTCCTCCCAGGCTCCTGCTGGAGTGCCTCAGCCAGCTTCCTCAGCTAAGCAGGGCACAGCGGGCATCATGAGTGAAGCCACAGGCAGAGGAGTTTGCTCTGTATCACTCTTGGCCCTTATTATGTCACTGGGTCCAAGATGTACATCCTTATTCACAAAAAAATTTCCTTTAAAGATAAAAGAATGTCAAGGGGGAAGAGCTAACCATTGCCTCTCTCCTTAGTCAGTCCCATTACCTGAAAATCCTGTCAACATCGAGCAATTGCCTCCCTGCTCACATGTGTCACCGCTGCTGCCCTTGTGACCGCAGAATGCCTTAAATAAAAGTGTTGTGGCACACTTGGGAAGAGGCAGGCTCTGAAGCCACGGGGCTGCGTTTCAAATCCTGGCTCTCCAACATAAAAGCTAAGTGAACTTGGGGATTTTACTTAAACTTTTGTGCTTCTGTGTTTTTCACTCTAAGACAGAGATAGTAATAGTACCTCCCTAACGAGTGCTGTGAGGATGGGATATTTTCATGTATGGAAATATTTAGCACAGTGCCTGGCAACAGTAACCAGTCAGTAAGTGTCAGCTGCTAATACTGTTGCTGTTACCATCACCGTCTCTGCTGCCACGTCCCCCTCCCCACTCCATCTTACCAACCTCATCATTTCATCTTGAATCACACACTTTGCTCCAGACACTCAGACCTCTTCACCCACCCAAGTAAAGCACATTCATCCTCACCTCTGGTCACCACCCTTCCTCTGGCTGCAATACTCATCCACTATCCAAATGCTGTCTGCTTTTCAAGGTCCAGCAGCCCATGGACCCTACAGAGGCATTTCCTGGCCAAGTCAACTACAAGGACTATCTGTCTCTCTCTAAAATCTGTGTGACATCGGCACTACCCTACCCATTAAGTTCACATGGGCCAAGAGTCTCTAGGTCCTCCTCTCCCCATTTTTCTGATGCATCTCGTACAAAACCCTCAGGGCCCAGCCCAGAAAGCCCTGAACCCATATCCTCAGGCTTTCCTAACTTAACACTGTCAGGAGGGGATAGGGCTACAAGATGCTGGCTGCTTTTGCTAGATTCTAGCCGCTAGAGAACTGCAGTGAATTTAAATTCTCACTTCAAAAGGGTCTGTTATGTGTACTGGCCAATTATTTTTGTTCTGAATTCTCCAGGTGACAGCTTTGGCCTACTGTTCTGGCACCAACAGCAGGGCAGAGAAAAGACTCAGGAACAGTAGCTAACACTGACCACTCCTCTTTAGCCAGCAAAGGCTTGCTGGGGCTTCCAAAGGGTCGTGCGGCAGGCATGTTGGTACTCACCAGTCAGCAATGCATCCAGTTATTAGGTAGCCAAAGATTAATCCAACCAGTAAGGAGAACTTAGCGATATGGACCTTCCAGGCATTATCACACACAAGATCCCACTAGAGAGGGGCAAATAGAAAATAAATCAGAGAGAAACATACACAGATGCCAGTTGTAGTCAATCATAAGGGCAATACAATAACTGTGGTAAGGATCATGACACCATTTGCAGAGCTACGTCATGCATACCATTAAGGGTCTCTTCAACGTTTTTGAAAATCCAACAATGAGAAATATAATTTGCTCACAGAGGCAGTGTAATGTTTTAGTCCAGGACAGGTTATAAAAGTCTGCATAGAGTACTCCCATGAAATCTGGGATGTGTGTTCCTTTTGTCTCAGCTACCACAGGGAAGGTAACCCGAGGGAAAGGGAGCAGCCTTCTCACTGGGCAGAGCTGTCACATGGCCTAGGAGACGGGCAGGCCCTGCCAACTTTTTGCACCAGGTATCACAATGACATGAGGAAATTAAAAGCATTTTTTGTGTTTCCATCCCCAAAACTCCCTAAACTTTATAAGAGGGTTAATGGCAAATGTCGAAATGTCAACTTTCAGCATTTGCGTTATTTTCCTTGTAAAGATCCCTGTGTTTTCCCATATTCCACTCTAAAGCTCTTTGCTCCACTTGGACAGAAAGACAACATTTAGACTATTTTTGCAATTAAGTTTTATTATTTAATAAACAAATGAAAATAACCCTCCATTTCTTCTTTTCTCTTTCTGCAGGAGCAGGAGAGGAAGCCATGTTTATTCCCTTAAAGTGATATGGGTCCAAGTGGACACATGTGTGGGCACAGCACCTGATCCACAAACAGCTGAATGACATCTGGGTTCCAGGGGCAAAAGAACAGGGTCTCTGCTGGTGACACTATAAACACAGAAACACTGCAGTCCTTCCCCCCGCCCCATGTCATCCCATCAGTGCTAAAGATGCCCTCCTTTTGGTGGAAAGAAGTAGCTAAAGTTTCCAGTTCTGGGAAGCTTTCGTCACTCCTGGTCAGTGGAGATGGAGAGGCACGAGTGGAGAAAACCGCTGGAGAGATGCACGATGAGGCAGGGGAGTGGGGAATGTCATAACAGAAGGCGTTCTGGAAGCAGAAACAGGATTTGCGGGGTGGGCACGAGCTATATGGAAGGCTCTGGGCTGAGACCTGGTCTTAGCTTTGTCTTCTTCCATATCCCTCCCTTGTCTGTCCATCTTGAGACTCAGAGTGCAATGCAGGGGATCCTTAAAGGGCACTGTAAGCTCAGGTCCACCCTCCCCCCACCATTTCCAAATTTCCAGAAAGCCTGATGGAGGTTAGCTGTGGGTCTCAGCTTCTGTGGGCTTTGGGAAAAGCTGAACTTCTGGATGAGTCATTGCTGAGTAAGGCACCAGGCCCAGACAGCAGGGAGGAAGCTGCCTGTCACACCGTTCCCTGGACTCTTTGGGACACACACATGCTCACCGATGCTGCCAAGGTATGTTTGACTTTTCAGAGACCTGGGGAGAGTGACTAACTCCTCTCCCCCATTGGCTTCCAGAGTGATGGCCACACTAGGCTCAGGAAAACAGGGAATGCAAGCACAGGCTGCACACAGCTTCGTCAACAGGGGATAGTTTGGGGTTTGTTCTTATCCAGGTTTATTCACGTGTCTGGGGAGCAGGGCCCTGCTAGTCGCACAGAATCTTATCAGTAAGAACTCAGATACAGAAGCTATTGAAATGGGTAACTTCCTCCTAGGTCTAGCCCAGTGGTCCTCAAGGTGTGCTCTAGGGACCAGCAGCACCAGTATCTCCCGGGAATGTGTCAGAGACGCAGATTCTTGGGCCCGACCCAGACTGAGATCTTCCCGAGTGAAGTTTAACAAGCCCTCCAGATGATGCTGACGCCTGCTCAAGTCTGAGAACCACTGGCCGGCTCTGCCATGCCATCTCCCTGCCATTCTGAAGATGATGAATGAGCTTTGCAGCCCTGGTGTAGGGTTCAAACAATCAACTCCCAAGGGAAGCGTGCTACCAAACACTGCATGAATCATACACGGTAGCAGTGGCTAACTGTTCTTAGTGCAAATACAGAATTGTAAAACCAGATTATGAGTTAAGTGGGCTCTTGATAGCAAGGCTGGAAAACCAAGATTCATGGATATATTGTTTCTAGGAGAAAATTCATTTTTAATAATGAACATCTTTCAAGGTGCAACCTATGTCTAGCTTCAGGAATGTGGGCTCTGCCTGTAATGTGAATTACAGCATCATAACTAACAGTGTGTGTACATTCTGCTTTCCCAGCTGGATTTATATATTGAGGCCATGTCTGAATGGTTTTCTCTCCCCTCTGCCCAGCACTGGAAGCTGCCCACAAAGGAATCGAATCCAAGAGTTAAGAGCTACATCTGTAGGCACACCTGGCTAATGTGCGAGAGGAGTTGCTTACAACACCTGGAGTCATTAACATCCCAACCACGCCACACCTTCCTACACCTCAGCCTGGCACATTCTTGGCAAGAGCAGGGCACACCCGGTCCCAGGTTCTGCTGAGGAGGACAGCACCAGTTTGTTGGCTGTGGGGCAGAGAATCATTCACTCAGGCCTCCACTCAGACTTCCTACTAATGAGTTTACCCAAGGTTAAGTGATGCAAAGGAGCACATAATACTTATATTAGATGGCCAGGAAACAAAGGAGGTTTTAATAAAAGCATTCAGGGAGGTGGGGGAAACTGCCAAAACTGTTGTGAGCTTAGTCACCTAAATAATAACTCTACCTGGCCTTGGGTAGCCATGACCCAATTTCGTTGCTACCTAATAAGATGTTCAACGGCCACCTCAATGCAACCTCTATCAATTAACAACACTGGAGTGGAAAATTAAAACCGTTGAGAAAGACAGAACCACTTCCATAGCCAGTAAGAAAAGAAAGCTTGGTTAGAAGAGTCTGCAGGCATTGCTGTTCTCAGCCTGGGGGCGGGGGTCACAGAATCCAGGACCTGCTGCACCAACCCCGTCAATTAGGCACAAATGTAGACAGTGTCTCTCAGTAAACAAGCAAACTGACTCTGGCCCTACCAGGTTCCCCAGAATTGGCCTGTCACAACATTCTTGAGAGCTGCAGGCCCACCCTGAGAATGTTGGACAAACTGGGTGGGGTGAGGTTGGTGGCACCATTGCGATAACATCCCTTGTTTGCTTTCTACTTCTGTACTGACAAAAATGTATTGGGGAAAAAAAATATGTTCAGATGTAATATTATCTTCAAAAGAATCTCAGAAGTATGAGGAAGCTTTGAGATCACCTTGTTCTAGAAATTTGTTTGCTTTGCTATGGCAATTGGTCATTTCACTAAGCAAAGGCTAAGAGACTTTAAAAAAATCTAAACCATGCGAAACCAGGACTTAATGTATGGGTTTTGTCTCTGACATTGCCCTTGTCAACTCCCTTTTCTCACTAACCCCCCCGGGGCCCACCCCATCAAATCAGTCACCACTTCCAGAAGATTCTCCCTTTCATCTCCACTATGGACAGCCTGATTTATGGGAACCTGGTAGGGGTTCACTCCCCATCCTTCTGGTGTGTGGGCTGGAAGGCTAAAAAACAAAAAAAAACCCACTTGCAGATTCCCTTACAGCTAAGGCTTCAAATGTGGTTTAGGTTCTGCCAATCAGCTGCACACCCCAAAATAACTTCCAGTGTACAACCTAGTTCTAATTTTTGGGATGACTTGATTTAGGAAGAGTGTGAAGCGGGGAGTAAGTGGGGCACCTGCTTTGCTGGTCAGATCTGGCAGGGCTTGGTCTGGAGGTGATCCTGGAGCCAGCGGTTAGACAGTGACCTATTGACTCCCCAGCCTCCTGCCTGGGGAGCTGCTCTAGGAACCCTTCCGGAGGCCCAGGCTTCAGCCCCTCCTACAATTTAGTGAGCGCTGTTTCCCTGTCTTCAATCCCTAGCTCCTTAAATACCTAGAGTGGTTTCTGGTGTCTGCAAATTGAACCCTATTCCCTGATTACGTTTCCTTGGGATGGAGTTTGCAGGAGAACAGGATGGAGGCCATGCCACCATCCTCCCTTCATGAGCTAATGTAAGAGTCTCCATGCATTAACTCTGGCCTTCCTCAAATCCATTCCCTACAGAACAATAAAAACAATCCTCTAATTAGGCATATAAACACTTCATCAGCAGTTCTAACAAGATCATAAAAGTGTTAAAGTCATGACCTGTTTCTTTCTGTGCCATTGTTCTAAGACCAGGGCCATGTGATGCTGGTGAGCCATGACTAAATGGTGACAAAATTGACCCTAAAAAGTGTTCTCAATTTCAGTTGCACATTTCATTAAAATAAAAATGGGGTGGGGTGATGGGGGGGGCCGGTGGCCAATTAGCTCAGGTGGTTAGAGTGCAGGCTCTTAACACCAAGGTTGCCGGCTCAATTCCCACATGGGCCAGTGAGCTGCGCCCTCCACAACTACATTGAAAGACAACAGCTTGACTTGGAGCTGAGCTACCAGTGGGCGGCCAGTTGGTTCAGTTGGTTAGAGTGCAGTGCTCATAACGCCAAGGTTGCCGGTTCAATTCCCACATGGACCAGTGATTCCCACATGGGCCAGTGAGCTGCACCTTCCACAACTAGATTGAAAACAATGACTTGACTTGGAGCTGATGGGTCTTGGAAAAAACACACTGTTCCCCCAGTGAAGTTTAAAAAAAAAAAAAAGGCAGAGGTTACAGAAAACCTGGTAGACTTTTTTCTACCAATACATTTTTAAGGAGAAACTAAAAGAAAAGAAATAAGTTTATATTACTTTCAAAGGAATAATCTAATTGCTTGGCATGCCAGAGTAAAAAATATTCACCCAGGAAACTAAATGAAATTTCTAAAGGACATGGAAAATAAATGGGAGGTAAAGAAAACAATCTTATTTTCAGCAATAATGAATACAATAAGTAAACTGTAAAACAAGAACATAAAAAGGAAGGAACAGGGACCGGCTGAATGGCTCAGTTGGTTAAGAGCTTGTTCAAGAGTGCGAGCTCTGAGCAAAGGGTCACCAGTTCGATTCCCACATGGGCCAGTGAGCTGTGCC